AGAAAGAGAGAGAGAGAGAGAAAGAGAGAGACAGAGCGCGCACCTTTTTTGAACTTTTCCGCGAGGAAAGGAAAAAAAAAGAAATCAGCTTTTCTTTTGAATGGCACGGGTGAAGTTTGTCGTCGGAGTTTTAGGCTAGGCCCCGTGTCTGTACCTCATGTTCCAAACTTAAATAAAACAATCAGTGTGAGATTCTAGAACTAATGCCCAGGCAACAAAGATTTAAAAAGGGCTGTAATTAAAGGATGCTGCAGTAGAAAGCGGAAAAAGCTGGGCAGCTGTTAACAATCTTTTCCTATGAAACTCTCTTTTCCATCTTAATAAATTTCCGTTTCTCAGAATATAATAAGGATAAATCATTGTAATACTCAAAATTTTTTTTAGATCTGGCGAAACCTTTTTGATCCGAGGACATGAAAAACTTCATGATCCTATTTTATTGCCTTAGGGTTATTAGGGGCTTCCGTCACTTGCCGAGGCATATGGTATTACGAAGACTGGACTGGACTAGTACAACGCTGACTAGTAAAACGCTGACTAGTAAAACGCAGACTAGTAACACGTGGACTAGTAAAACGCGGACTAGTAAAACGCGGACTAGTAAAACGCTGACTAGTAAAACGCTGACTAGTAAAACGTGGACTAGTAATACGCGGACTGGTAAAACGCCGACTAGTAAAACACGGACTAGTAAAACGCTGACTAGTAAAACGTGGACTAGTAAAACGCGGACTAGTAAAACGTGGACTAGTAAAACGCGGACTAATAAAACGCGGACTAGTAAAACGCCGGACTAGTAAAACGCTGACTAACAAAACGCGGACTAGTAAAACGCGGACTAGTAAAACGCGGAACTAATTTTTTTTCATGTTTTTCCGTGTTTGTAAATCGTATAAAACTTAACGGTAACGGACTTAACAACATCAACAAAAAAAAAATTTCATTCAGACGAAGGCGATCACAAGACTTAATGGCGAACCAATTTTAAAAAATTTGTCTATTAGATGTCATGCCAATTTATTTCGACGGCTTAGTGAGTGACAATCCAGTGACCTTTAAGCTACAAATGGGTTTGACATGCGCCAGATACAAACGATTTTATAAGTTTAGGCTAAGAAAGAGTTTTATTCAGCACCAGTTCAAAATCGTAATATATTTTGTTTTATGGAATCACTCAGCAGCGAGTTGAATAATTTTTTCATGTCTTTTTCATATTTGTAAATCGAATAAAACAAAACGGTAACGGACATAACAAAAAAAAAATTAATACAAAGGCTGTTCTGTTCAGACTACTAAAATGTTTTGTTCCGACTACTAAAATATTTTGTTCAGACTACCAAAATAACTTCAAGCGAAAAACACATGTTCTTATATACCATAATAGTAACGCAACAAAAAATGTCCTCAGTAGGGTGGTCCCGTCATAAGTCCAGTCTCACTGGGGGGGCGTGAGATCCTCCCACTGCGGGTCCGGGCCCGAACATCCTCCCCACCTCTCCAATACTTTGGAGACTTCACACTGATTTCTGTGTAACTTGTTTCTTCTTCCACCTTTTCTTCACCTTTCGAGTAACGACTCCCCACCGTAAGCACCGCTTTCACCTAATTCACCACTTCCAAATTTAGTACTGCTTGCTTCCAGACGAGGCAGCCTCTGTACAGGTCTCCTTAGAAGCCCTTTCTTTGTCTTCAAAATAACAGTACGAGTCAAGCCGTCTTTTCCAGGAAGCAATCTTTCAACTCTTCCCATCGGCCACTTTCCTCTCACTCCGTCCTCTCTACGAGGGTGCCTGTAGGATCTGCGGTAAGGACGATGACGGCGACGATTCTGTGCCGGACGCTCTTCTCCCTCTTCTCCTCCTTCATGATCACCATCTCGTTCTTCTTGTTCATCGCCTTCAGGGCGTTCCTCATCAGACCTGCGCCTATATCTGGGACGTCGTCTTCGGCGGGGTCGCCTCTTCTCCTTATCATCCTCCTTCGGTTTAACCTCTCCGTTGGTAGCGGAGTTGGGCCCGCCACGGGGGCGGCGTCTCCCACGACGGAAATCTCGATAGTTGCGGTAGTAGTTTCTTCGGCGGTCCGGAGCATATTTGCTTCCTTGTACAGGGCTTCCATTTGGTCCAGTCACGTTGGCTGCTTCTAGACCCTTCGCTCCTGATACAACATCAAACTCCACTGTCTCTCCTTCTCCAACACTGCGCAAGTACTTCTTGGGATTGTTCTTCTTGATGACAGTCTGATGAACAAATATATCCTCCTTGTTTTCATCTCTGTTGATAAAGCCATAACCGTTCTTCACGTTAAACCACTTCACTGTACCGCTCACTTTACTGGCAACAACTTTCTTCTCAACCTCCTGGTTTTCTTCAACTTGAGGCTCTTCAGTCGTGGTCATGTTGCTCATGTTACAGCCTCGTAGGGCTCTGCTACCAGGTGGTGTTTCCCACAAAGGTCCTTTGATGTTCCGTCTGTTCCTCGATAGAGGGCGTCCTCTGTAAGCATTGGCTCTCCCTGGGTTTCTTCTAAGCTGACTTTCGACCCTCTCAAGTCTCTTGACT